ATAACACATTGCAAAGCATATGCCCGTCTTCATTAACCCAGTCGGTTCAGAACTGTAGGACGTTAAATATACCGCTATGGCATCCTTCTTATAAGTCAATTAAATGAAAACCCCAGTTTACTTGACAGATGGACAACGATGATATGAAATTTATAAGAAAAATAATCATTTTGTTTCAATCCCGAATATCGAAACACGATCTATCTCATTATTTGTTATTCGCCAACGAATGACGAAACACGTTTTAATTTTACACTGCCGGCACATAAACCATAAAGTATGAAATGAACTGAAATGGTTAACGTCCCTTAAATGTTATATAAACTATTAATTAGACATTAATTAACTTACCAAGACCATAATCAACTCTCGATGCCATCTAATGGGTCCGATTTTAAACAGATTTGAATGCGATCTGCGCTTCAGCGGCTGTTCATGATTAACCGTAAAACTGGATAATCGAGACATTATTTATTATCATAACAACGGAAACAATGGGATTTCCTCGGCTTAGGGTGAAGTAATTTGACTGAAATCTTCAGCGTATTCCCGTGACATTATCTATTTTAACTATTATCTATTTTAACTGTCAGCTTTTTATCTAATCTTACATAATGCTCCTTTAACATTAACTTGTTTTCTTCTGTAAATTACATTCTAAATCAATTATCTGAATTATTAAATAAAGGTGTGCGTAGTATATCTGAATAAAACATATGTTCTATTTAGTTACATCGCTGGCGTAAAATGAGTAAAAGGCACCAATACTGCCCGGATGGGATACCACGACAGCTAGGTCATGTAACATAAACATGACTTCTTTTAATATATGTTTTATAACTTCGGGTATTCGAAGCAAATTGTTGATAGATTAATTAGTTTGAATATGCATTTAGTCCAAATATATCATCAAATCACCCAGTTTTTACACGGGAAGGCATCTTTAACACCAAGTTTGTACACAGGAAAGTATCTTTAGCACCCAGTTTGTACACGGGAAGGTATCTTTAACAACCAGTTTGTACACAGGAAGGTATCTTTAACGTCCCACTGTTCTGCATCAACTGAGATAATGAACACGGAATATCGATTAAACCATTGCACTGTACAGCCTGATAATTATTGATATTATTTGTTTCATTTATTAACATATACCTTGATATAACATTGAAATGAAATGAGGTTTTAACAAACCACCTTTCTTCTTCACCGACCGGGCTGATGAAGACGGACATTCGTCATACAGTGTTTTATGGGGGGAATTTAGCCCAGAAAGCGGCACTGCGGCCTACTTTTACGCACAAGGGATCTTTTACGTGCGTGTAAATGTGTACACGAGACCCCGATTTCTCGTCCCATCCGAACGACTAGACCCTGCTACGTATCAGACCCTTCGTCCTGCACTATTGACAGGCGAACTTTCTTGGCAGCAGAGACCTTGGATAGCGAGCCAACATCTTTCTAACCGAGCCACTGCGACTTCCCGATATAAAATATTGTAATAATGAATGAATAGTGAATATCATAGTGAAATAGACTTTTAAAAAACTGAGCTATTGTAGTCTGATATGAGGAGAATCTTGCCCGGACAGCGGTGGGTGGTCTTGTTTTGATTTAATGATAATTTGTATGATGTAACAATCACGATTATGCTTAGAAAGTGGAATTACAGGGAGATTACTTCACCATGGTTTGTATAGACTAAGACTAGTAATTATTTCCCCTAATAATTATTTCATGATGGACGAATGTAAGTGCGAGTTATAAATAGACAATTTTGGGTTGACTTTTTGGTCTAGAATTGGAGAAAAGGGATCAAATTTGCAATTTCATAGCAGTTTTGGGTAATAAGGGGGTGTAAAGTGTCCTTCTGTAGAGCAATCATTGTGTCGGAAGCAAAAAATCTAAATGGTCAACCCCCTTCAAAATTATGATGAGGAGATTGCCAAATGTTGTCCCCATTGTACCTATAAAGATTGGAACCAACGGAATGTTGAGCAAAAAGCTACAGCCTGTGATGTTACAGCCATTTAACATTGAAGTCAATGGGCAAATAATTGCTAGTCTGAGTCCGTATTGTTCCATAAATTTAATTATTAGCTGTTTCACTGTTTAATGAGACGAGATGTTAACTTCCTGAAACAGGCTATCTTGATTGTCCGCCGCATCGTCAATTCTACACGAGGAGCTTTCTCGGTGAACACGTGTTATTTAGCTGTGAGAAGAAACTGAAGGATAAGGAGAAATGTCAACAAGGTTCAACATGCGACTCTACTCCTTGTGACGTATAAGGATAGAGTCGATGCCACGTCACTTGACTTAATGACAGACCTTATTGTTTATTTACGGTTATGTCCAGCTTGTGTAACTTATAGTAATGTTGCATTTCTATATTTTTGTGTTATAATATTACTGGTTTCTGTTGGTGTAAAACTCTTATCATCCATTTCTTAGAACATATATTAATCGTTGTCAGAACAGGCCAGGGCAACTGTAGCCATCAATGAATAATGGTGTAATAATAGACGTCGATGACGTTAAACCTACCCACAATGGCAGATAACTCTGGAACAAGGGAGATAGCTTTGGTATGCAAAGTGTGAATTGGGACGTTAGTGCCCCACCTTTCGATTCTCCATGCCCTATTTTCAGCGCCGGATTAACCATGGTGGCGGTCCCCAGCCGTACACAAGTGACCAGAACTTAGACAGTATTATTCCACATAAACCAGTTTGATGGTGGTCAGTAATAAATTCGGAGAGGCATATCCGCCATGGCCGTAATATTCATCCTCGGTATCCCCAGTATACTCATTCCGTTCTACTCCGCCATTTCAAATTATCTGCCCTGGCCTTGATTGTAGCTAAAGACCACGAACCAATCAAAAAACAGTTTACAAACCAGTCATTTCGCTCTTGTTTTTATAAGGGTAGATAATCATATTCATGTCCATTTACTGAATGATTTATGTAAATAATGTATATATTTCTCATTTATTTATATTTAATTGTATTATCAAAATCTGTAGGATGTTTCGCTGATTTTAAATATGCATAACATTTATATGTTTGACTTTTGTTATTATTACTATTTGTTCTATGTTTATTATACTTGGCACAGTAACTTGTTAACTTGTTAACCAAATCACATGAACGTAAAACTATTGAACTTATACTTGGCAATTTGATTCACGGTAAAACTTGTTAACTTGGTAACCAAATCACATGGACGTAAAACTATTGAACTTATACTTGGCAATTTGATTCACAGTAAAACTTGTTAACTTGTTAAACAAATCACATGGACGTAAAACTATTGAACTTATACTTGGCAATTTGATTCACGGTAACTTGTTAACGAAATCACATGGACGTAAAACTATTTGGGGGGTTGGGATGGCCTAGTGGTCTAGAGTGCCGCGCATCGACCTCAAGCTGGCCGGTCACCTCTGGCATGTGGCTGCGGTTTCGATCCCCGGTATGAGCGTATGTAGCTTGGACATAGGGCCGCCTTCTCAACCTCGTGGGTTTACTCCGGGTACTCCGGTTTCCTACCACAGGAAAGACCCCTGTGCGTGCGCTAAGAAAATAAAAAAAAATGAAAAATAAGACTTGTCTCCGATATCACTTTCGGTGGAAGCGGACGTTAAACACTAAGAACAACAACAACAACGTAAAACTCGGGGAATGAAAGAACGATTCTCAATAAAACTTTTGAACCCACATATATATAGGTCCGGTCTTCATTAATATAATATTATATAATTTGTTGTTTAGAATAATTTGGACTTTTCTCATTTAGGCTAATTTCTAACTTTGTTGGTGGGTTGGATGGCCGAATGATTAGCACGTGCTAACCCCCACCCCCAACGACAAAAGAAACGTATATCTAAACAAAAATTTCAGAAGGGTAAATTTAAAATGGTGGTGGAAGGGGTAAGGGTTGGGATAGATGGACACTTCTGTTTTTGAGAACCGTAATTAAGAAGGAAGTAGTTTACAAATGTATTAATATTATATGCATCTCTACAATCAAAACGAGGCTAAAAGTAGGGTGTATGTCCTATATTAGCAGTGTATAACAGTTACACACCGACGATACATGGACACAATAAGTAGGTATATAAAAACTATGGGTATTCGGACCATGGTTCCTCAAACTGCTTCTGTAAGTTGTACAGCTGTCTGTGGTCTGAAAATCATTTGGTCAGTCCTCTTTTTTAGCTCGTCCCAAAAGTGTATCAGGTTTTAAATATCTGGACTTATTGATGGCCATGGTAACATGTTAATGTCGTTCAATGCAAAAAGTCTTGTGTCGCCTTGGCAGCATGCGGTTGTTCAATGCCAGAAAGTCTTGTGTCCTCCTGGCAGGATGGGGTCTTGCATAATCCTTCGGCAGTATCCATTGTTGTTGCCTTCTAAAAATGGTACCAAATGGGGTTGAATGACTTATTTGGTGTAAACCTGCGCTGTGGCACCATTTCCGCGACCAGACTGAATATTTTGGAAGACAACCGGTCCTACTGTCTCGCCCAAACCAATAACCGACCTCTAGGCTAGTGAGCCAGCGTCTCATCCAAACCAATACCGTCCATACCATGATGGTTGGTCCTTCCCATTGATCATGTTCCAAAACATTTCTATCAGCATACCGCTATCGACGTCTATACCATATCTTTGCCCTACCAAACCCGACATTCTCGGTAACCAGATATGCACGTGCTTTAAGCGTTCACAAAGACTCGTACGGATGTACGTAACATGGATTATCAACAGGGTGTTAATTGTAATCCATCATACCGGAAGTTATGTCCCCACCCCCACACCCCCACCCAATAAAAAATTGGACCTGTACTTCACATATTACATTTACCAGTCCATGTGGGTACAAAATTATCATAATGAAATCAAGACTACACCCGTACCATTCGTTATACAACATTCAGTATACTTGAAGGAAATTAGCCGATCAGGATTAGATTGATGAAAACAAATAACAGGTAATTTAAGATATTTTAATAATATTCTATGCTTATAATCACAAAATGGAATTTACATATAAATAATACCAGTAAACATAGAAGGCATATCTATGGAAAACCAGACAGACCATTAATCGAATGATACTGAAATGAAATGGCGTTTAATGTCCTACTGTTCTGCTTCAACTGGGATAATGAAGACGGGCATACGCATACAGTGTGCTATGAGTGCCAATTTGCCCGGAAACCGATACTACGGCCTACTCTCATATCGAATTCCAACTACCAAGGGATCTCCCATGTGCACGCCCATGTGTAGATGAGATCATCGCACCCGAACAACTGTACGTTGGCCCTTGTCAGGCCCTCCGTCCTACACCACTGACAAGGAGGAACCACTTTGGAAAATACCGATCAACTTTCTCGGCCAACACCAGAAGAGAGCCATCATCTACAGATCAAGATTCTGTAAGACACAGGGCTAGAGGTACTGCGGGATCCAAGTCTAGGAAATTGTTGCGGACCGGCAACCATTAGTTTATAGTAGGCCAACGGTGTTTCGGTTTAGTATAGTAGCTTTTCTACAAATATATACATCTTTTACCCCCCCCCCCAACTATTTGGATATACAACTTCAGGATTTATTAACATGCTATGTTTCGATACACATACAGGTATCGGTTTCAAGCAAATAAAGATGTTTAACAAATTTAGCATGTTAATAAATTCAGAAGTAGTATATCCATATAGTTGTTTTCTATATATCTTATAAGGAGTATCGTTTACATAGACAATTTAGATTCACAATTTACAAATGAAAGTACATGGCTTTAAATCCCAGGGTACCCTGCAACTGACGGGGATCTCTTAATTGCTGCACCTCAAGGTCATGCTTTGATGTCATGCTTTGATCCCACCCAGACTTCGTATTGTAAAAACGAAACTATTTGATCTATTCAAAAATGAAGTTAATAATTGTTACTAGATATCGATGTTAAATTGTTAGAAATGTCGATTAATGACCTTATTGGTGTTCCATACATCTGTCGACTGACCTATGACCTATGTTATAAATTTATAGCGATGTCTACTGTACCCACAACAGTTTCAATCCGACACTATATATTTCACACCATCCATACATCAAATCATAAAGTCTGATCATTCTCGGTCAATATGGAAGACAAAATGCAAGGCAATTTGAAAGCTAAGCAACATTTTTTGTATAAACAAAATGTTCATAATTTTGGTCCATTTCCACACATTTACCGCCTGGTTCTCCTTTCGCATAAAATCTTTTAGCGGTGCTGCCAGGTGAAATCTGTGTACACTATCTGATTCATGGTTGTATTCGCAAAGCATGAGAAGCGTTATCGGGTTTTCTATAAAAATACAACATATCCTGCCCCGTACACGACTACGAGAGATTCAATCAGATCACAGAATGAACCAATCGGTTCACCCGCCGTACAGTGTGATTTGTTCGAATTCCAACTTTCAAGGATGCTTCTGAGATGATGTACTTTTGCTTTTTCGCTGCCACGTCCCTATATGTCTATTTATGAAGTCTACTTACTCCTATAGTGTTGTGGGAGGGGGATGTTTAACGCGTGCGCTTTAGATAATAATATGGCCTGTCATTGAGCCAAGTGGCGTGGTTTAGATTTCCACCTTATACATCTTGGGTTCTATTCGGAACCCTCGGTTTCCTCCCGACGTGAGAGCGAATAATTGAAATAAAATTAAACCATATGTTAATCCCGACAAAACCTTGATTGCGTCTCTCTCTCTCTCTCTCTCTCTCTCTCTCTCTCTCTCTCTCTCTGACCCACTGCAATAGACGCACTTTACAGAAGCGTTACAGATACTGTTAATAATTTGGTTGAATCTATCCATAATCATATAAAATACTGGGTTTTCACACAACACAATTAAACACGATTGTAATGTTTCCAAATTTGTAATGTTGGTGCTTCCAGTCAAGGGCAGCAACATAGAGTTCGCTTCAATCACGAATGTTATCTTAACTAAATCAAAAAAAAAAATAGTTTAGACAATACATTGTCTAAATCGGTCCAGGGTGGGATGTAACATGGAGAAATTATCACCCCGAAAAGTTATTTCCTTTCTTGGTTTTCTATGCGGGTCCCCCGGCTTCATATGAAGACGTCGTGGAATTATGACGTTTTTGGTGCAGATGTCAACCTTCCTGACCGATAATTCTCAATCGGGAAGTTGCCGCCAACGCTGGCTTTAACATCGAGCAAAAAATAAAAATAACCGAATTCTTAAAAAAAAAAGAAGAAAAAGGAAACAAATTTTGTTATTTTTGCAGATGTCAAGCTTGATGACCGTGGAGCCTTAACCGGGAAGGTGCCGACATCGATGTCGCTGTCCCTTCCGTTTGACACTGGCTTTAATATCGAACAAACAAAAAAAAATCACGGAACTTTTAAAATGAAAACAAAACAAATTTGGTTAATTCTTTCAAATCTTAATGTGAAATACATCCCCATTAATAAATCACAGAGGTATATCTAATTAAAAAAATTATATCTATGTCATCTTTAATTAACACACCTGTATTAAATACCTATTTAATTAACACACCTGCATTAAATACCTATTGCTTTGTGATAATTATCATGATATTACCACATAGAAGATAATCGTAAACCTTAGCATAAAGAGGTTTTCTCACTCTCATCAACACAATAATTTTAAATAATATCATATGCACAAAATAATCATAGACACGTCTAAGACTAAGCATTATATGGCGTCTTGTATGTCCTCAAAACTACTAAAACCTTTGTACAACTCCCTCAGAGAAAGTAAACAGGTATAAATTTTAACGATGGCTCGATACACGTGTTTCTTATTTTGCGAACTATATAATTTGAATATTTCCGATGGACCTGTATATAACCAAATATGTAAAATTCTGAATTGATCATTTTACGTTTTGGAAATTTGATGCAACTCAGACAATCATTCAGCAGCAGTTTATACCTGGATGATATTAACAATGTTGGTATTGTAAACAGCAACACGGAACTGTTCCGGGTCGATATTTAATCGGCCCCCTCGCGCAACAATCAATATTATATACAGACTATATAGACATAAAGACACCTGGAAACACCTGACAAATTATAAACAGTTTAAGGAGTATATTATATTATTATACAACAGTTGTTTTGCAAAAAAGAAAATTTTTCTCCGAATATGTACAGTTGAACCTCGATATTCCGAACTCTTTGTGAACTAAAATTTGCCCGTTTTATTAAACTAAACTGTAGGGTTTGTTACAAATACACCGACTGTATGATCCGCGTTTTAACGAAACGCAATTAAAACAAAATTAAATATCTATATAACAAACTATGATACAAGATGTCAATCCTTCTCGTCTGTAATAATAATATATTCACCATTTCTTAACGCACGACGCATTTCCGTCCTCTTTGGAACATTGCTTTTAATTCCTTGCGAAAGGTTTGATTCATGAACGAATATATAACAGGATTAGCCACGTTATAAAGAAAGTACATATAAAAAATGATTATGTTAAAGCTTATCAGTCGATGCGCCATCAGCCACGACGGTAAAAACGCTATTATAAATACTATGGTAACCACAAACAACATGGCCGCCGTTCGAATATTGGCCAAAAAGTCATAGTCTCTCTTCCCTTTGGTTGATTTACGATTTTCACTGTTCAAACGTACGCATTCTTCGTGTTTCACTGATGAGACGCCATTGTTTTCAGGTAATTCCATGACCTCCACTTCCGTCACACAACTAGCCACAGATTTACCGGAAGGGCGAGCGGAACGTTGTCGCTGGCGCCATCTACGTCGTTTGATGACGGATCTGTAGATGATCATATATAGCACTAATACAATGAGGAAAGATAGCAGGTACAATGAAGCGTATATTTTCTGATAGACACTTATAACTGACTGTGATATCAGCAGATAATTACCGTTACACTCTGTTCTGTAAACTATTCGAGTCTCTGTAACGTTGGTGACTTGAATACTGGAATTACCAGCACCACTATCACTCATTGTAGTATTCAGGGTTTGATTTGTGTGGGTAACCGTTTCCCGGTAGTACACGCCGTAAGCTAACGTAGTCACAGTCCCTAAAATAAAAGCAAAGAAACTCAAAACAACGACTACGATCTTTGCTCTCCGCAGATTCATGGCGTGTAGAAAGGGTTTACAGATGCAGAAATAGCGATCGACGGCGATGGCCACCATGATGAAGGCTGACAATGGAACGTTACAAGTTATAAGGAAATGGTAGAGCTTACAGAAGAAATCGTATTTCAGTTCGTTTTCTAGGATGATAGCGACGGCTGTGAACGGCATTATCACTAGACATGTTATCAAATCCGTTCCCGCCAATGCCAAGATAAACACCGTCGATGTAACATTATCCATTTTTCTAGAGAATACGTATAATACCAATCCATTGCCAATGCTTCCGAAAACACTTAATATGGCTAAGATACACACGATGGCTAAACTTGTATCCTCCATTCCTGTGGAACTTGTTTCCTTGGCTGTCAATCCGGCACTATCTGTCGTCGTTAAATTCACAACCTCCATTTTAATTTTAAGCAGACGACAACCTGTAAAGATAAAGGATTCATGATTAGAAGATTTCATTTCAACAGGTAACCAAAACACAAGGCAACCAAGGTAGTTCAACAGGTAACCAAAACACAATGGCAACCAAGGTAGTTCAACAGGTAACCAAAACACAATGGCAACCAAGGTAGTTCAACAGGTAACCAAAACACAAGGCAACCAAGGTAGTTCAACAGGTAACCAAAACACAAGGCAACCAAGGTAGTTTTTATTCACCTTGCAGGTTGTAGGAGTCGAGTAATCTAACGTGTGCGTCTTAGACCATGCAGTTGGTCATTGATTCAATTAGGGTGGTTTCTATCTCAACCCTTTACATGACTCGCCCTGTTCAACCTCATGGGTTTTCTCTGGGTCCACCAGCTTCCTCCAACTGCTAAAAACCCTTACGTGTGAGCGAATTATTGTACCATATTTTAGTATCACAATAGTCTGGTCTGTGTTGTGTTAAACTCTCTTTTCCCCCTCCCTCTCTCCTCCCGTCCCTTCTATCCACCCCCTCTCTCTCTCTCACACTCCTCTATCAACCTCTCCCTTGCTCTCTTGGAAGAAAATAATAAGAACGTGACGTGAAACAATGGTTGAATGATCTGCAGTAAAATCAAACATAACCGGACCTTAAATCAACACATCTGTTGAACTTAAATTAAATTTATAGATTTCTTTCTTTTCTCACAGGACACGTGATTGTATAATCTATATAATGCTGTCACGTGACATTACATTTAAATAAACTACTACAGGGCTTGTATTTGGACTTTTACAAGATACATGAAACAGATTTAAAAATAGATTCATTCAAATTACTTTATTCTGATCGAAGTTATCACTGCAGTTTTGACAAGATATGTACATTTGCTGTTTATTGCTGGTTATTCGAGACTTAACTTAGCTTTTCCATTTTTAAATTAAATCATTGAATTGCCCAACCGTCCTAATCTGCTTGAAATCGGCACCATCCTATGAGCAAGAGAGTTGATTAAGGTCTTCTCGTGTTCATAAATGTCTACTAATTGATAATTTAAATAATATTTTAGGCTTGAACAAATGTATCCTAAATATTTAATGACAAAGTTCTGAGATGCCGGTTTATGTATTTTGGGGGGTTAAATATTAGATACCGACATTTGACATCAAAGGTCTCGAGTGTTTTAGAACTTGTCACCACATACAAACATGACTTCACGGTGACATGAAAGAATTTTTTATAAATGTCATAGACCAAGAAATGTCAAAGATTATCGTTGAAGTCTGTGGGGAGAGAATTAGTAGTCTGGGTCCAAAAGACATAAGAGGCGTGTACAACACTAGAAAATTTTGTATGGAAAGGAAAAATGAAATAAAATGGCGTTTACAGGAGGTTAAACGAAAATTAAACTACAAAAAAGAACCAAACAAAACTGCATTATGTATGTGCTAAATCCACCTATTACGGGACGCTTTCCGGCTTCAAATGGTATTGAAATTATTAATTAGACACATGAACGAAACATATACCAACAGCCTGGGCCATGAACAGCACACAATCCATCTCCATGGGCCACTGGGTGACTGGGGTATTACGTGGTATTTAATCTGTTATGGGTATAATGTAAAATCTTGTTCATTTATTATCGTAGTAATGACAATCGAGACTACACTATTCTCGTCAAAACTCCAAACATTCATAACTTCCCTCAGAATAAAATAATCTGAATGAAATTTGCAATATATTCACTTTTCATTATCAATTTATGAAGCAGGTGTGCTCTCTGGAGATTGTTATAATAGCTTCTAAATATAATATTATTTAAGTGACGTGTAACAGTCATGATGCCATGGATACACTCAACAGGAAGTCAGATATGAATTTAGATTTCACGTCATTATCAAGTAAGGCAGCTGTCGCGTGGGAAGTGGGATATTTGTATTTACCATTTTTGGAACACATGGTATCACTTCCTCTTGTACAGTTTTCTCATTCGACGAGTTCACTTTATTCCGCATCGCTTCTTTAGACACGGACAAATAGACTTGTTATTCTAGAACTCAGTGGTGGCTTCTGGATTCCAAGTCCATGTCCAAACTATTAAACACAATGAAATAGGTTTCTGTGCCATCCGGACTAAAGAAAAGGGTTCCAAATTATGATAAAAATTCGCTATTAAGACATCGTGCCCGGGTCAGGGTATGCTTACTCTATCAAGTCAATTATTTTATAATCGAACTTAGACGGTCAACGATTCATATGAAGTGAAAAGTGGTTTAACGTCCTACTGTTCTGATCCGACTGGGCTAATGAAGGGGGACACATGCCATACAGTTAACTATAAGAGAAGTTTTACCCGAACAGCGGCACTATAGCCAACTCTTTCCAAATATCAAGGATTATTCTACGTGCACGGCAATGTATACATGGGGTCTCGACTTTTCGTCCTATCCGAACGAATACACACTGTTCCTTGTCAGCCCCCCAGTTCTGCACCACTGACAGGGGGAAACCACGTCGGAAAAACCCGAGGAAATTTCTCAGCCCACCGGAGACCTGCTGGTGAGCGAGTCAGGGTCTTACTCACCGAGCCACCGCCGCTTCATCAATATTGTACAAGTTAAACGTCCAGCTAAAATCGAAAATAGTCAAACCCCTATATCATTTATATTGTAACATTGGTTAAAACGATTAAGATCATCGGAATTAAGATACACTCACATTTTACAAGAGATGGCTAGGGAACAAGCTAATAAAAAGGACATTTTTCGTACAATCAGTGGCCATAATCCAGGGAGTTATGGTCTGAAATCCACAATTATCGACATGGGGTGAGATATTTGACATATAAAGATATTTTAAGTTTCATCACAATCGAATAAAAATTGTGACCTTGGTATTACATACTTTTACACTATTTTCGTACAAGAAGCGGCCATTTTGTCAGGGAGATTCAGTCCGATTTTCATGAAATTCAATACTCAAAGTTCATTAGGGTGTAATGGTGGAACATTTAAAGTTTTTGTAAAATCGAATAAAAATTGTGACCTCTAAAATTGAGGAAGATACTGTCCGATATGCGCAAATATCTAAAGAAACCGGTATTTTTTGGAGTATAATCTTACATTTCAAGTTTCACCAAAATAGGATAAAAATTGTGACTTCTAGAGGGTCCACAACCTTGTTATTACATTCTTTTACATTATTTGCGTACAAGGAGCGGCCATTTTTTCTGGCAGTAGTTTGGGTCAGATTTTACGAAATTAGAACTCAACCTTCATTAATGTGTAAGGGTGATATATTTAAATGTTTTTTTTAAATTGAATACAAATTGTGACTTTTAGCGGCTCAACAAGCTAAAAATGCGATTTTATGAAAAATCAGGGGCCATAATCTAGGACGTTACGTTCGGATATACGCGATTATCAAAGGGAACCAAGATCTTTGTGATATAAACATAAAATTAAAGGTTCATGAAACCCAGATTCAAATTGTGGCCTCTAGAGGGTTTACAACCGTGTAATACCATATATTTACACTATTTGCGTACGAGGTGTGCCCATTCGAACTCAAACGACATTAGATTAGGGTGTAACGGTGATATATTCAAACATCGGATAAAAATTGTGACCTCTGGAGGAACCAAACGCTAAAAACGGGATTTTTAAAATTAAAATCAAAGGCCATAATTCAGGGAGTTACGATCCGATATGCGCGAATATCGAAAGGAACCAAGATCTTTAGGTTATAAACATGTATTTCAAGTCTCATGAAAATCGAATCAATGTGGGCGTATAAAAATGTTAACAGCTAAAGAAACACTAGCTTGAGAGCAACTGAATAATTGTAAGTTGTCCATTTCTAGATCTAACAGACATCGTAAACAATGTAACCATTTGTTTTCTCGATTATCCTGCCTTGAAGAATAACTACGAACATTGGATATAATGGATATCACTCTCTAATCTTGTACAGTGCCTTCTAGATTTATTTCACGTTTTTAAACATCGAGTTATAATGGACGACGTGATTTATCTCCTTCAGAAGGTTTTAGAAAACCTTAAATCATTTTTACTCGGGAGTCCAAGTTTCAATATGTTTGTCATGTTAAAAGCAAATGTCGAATTTATTTGTCTGTGAAAATCTGATTTTAATTTAACCCTGTGAATTTTGTTGTTCAGATTAAATGTCTGTGATGAAAATCTAATTATGATTCTGTTCGGTGTCTGGAACGACCATTGTAAATGTCTTAGTAGAAGGCCATCAACAAAATACGAATGTCTGCCAGCCGAATATTTATGTCGCTAAAAAAAATTTTATACAAAAAAGCACTCGAGGAAATACGTTAGATGAGACTCAACGAAACTGCTTACGTGGATTCTATTTGTTATGGTTTTTTATAGTTCAGTTTTCGTTTTAATGAAAATTAAATGAGGTTTATCGACCTACTGGGCTGTCCCGACTGGGTTATTGAAAACGGCAGAAGCCACGGTGGCTCAGTGGGTAAGACGTTGGCTCACTAAACAGGTGGTTTCTGCGTTGGCCGAGAAAGTTCATCTGGATGTCTCGGTTCCGCGGTTTCTCCTCCCACTGCTAATAACGCTTACGTACAAGCGAATTATTGAAATACAATTAAACCATGTGTTAGTCCCGAAATGACCTAGTTTTTGTCGAGTGGACGTTAAACCCCATTTCTCTTTCCCATACGCTTTCTTTATTGTTTTTCCCCATTTTTATTACTTCACTGTGTAGGTGGTATATATATACAGACGGTGACAGTTTATGTTTGATATATATACGTATTTTATCTTTAAAGGGTATTTGGTGAAAGCAACATATATAATAACAGACAACTTTATAGACGACTGTTCTTTAACGATATTATATGTCATTAATTAACCAGATTAATCAACTTGTTAAAACAGAAGAAAAGTAAACAAGGGTCCGCAACAATCTAACTTTATGTTATTACGCTCTAGGAAATGAAGACGGGCATACGGTGCTAAGATCTACTCT